GAAAGAGTGACTTCAACATGCTCTGGGAAGGTACACCAGGGGTCCTAAGCAATTTGAGGTGAGGGCAGGAAACATTTCCTCCCCTGAAGCTGGGGGGCCTGAGGATGAATTTTCCAGTCAAGGGTACAAGAAAAGAGCAGGACGTAACTGAACATGTTATAAAATCGTTCCCAGGCTTTTACAGCCAAATTTACCATATCACCCAACCTAAGGTCAGGCGTTTTGTGCAGGGATCAGTTGCCCCAAATTTTCTACCCCTTGAAACACTTACCAAGGTCTGGGGGATACCTCACTCAGGTTACAGATTTGGCCAAAATGCATTAGCAGAGAATGATTTGTATAAGCCTTGTAAAACACAGGAGGTTCTCAGATGGTTACATCCTTCAGCTGGGCAGAGTAGCAGGGTGGTGTGTTGGACGGGGGTTGGTTTCGTTTCTCCAGCTGTGGATTCCCAAGTAGAGCTGGTTTTGTCCTCTTAGGTTGTCATGATGAATAGCTTCATCCATGGGGTACAGGATATGAAAGACTACCTGACCCACAACCACATGCTCAGGGAGATGGGCAGGTAACAGGTGTAGTGGTTGGTCTCTATGGCAACAGAAGAGAAGCCTTCCTCCAAGGCACTGCTGGACTCCCGAGGGGTCCAGAGCCAAGCAGTCCTGCTCTGCCCACATGCCCATGCTCTCTGCCCGGCAGTTACTGGAAGGCAGACCCCAGACTGTTAATCCTGTTAATCCCTAGGTGAGCAATGCCGCAGCTCCCCAGACTGCAGTTGTTGTAGAAGCCAGGTCTTTAAAGAAGCTGCTAAAAGCAACGACCTACATGCCAGAAAATGCATGCATGGGAAAAGGAAATGAAATCCCCCAATTTGTACCTAACTAAATAGCAGACTATGTAAGTGTGCGACTTTAGCAGTTTATAAAGGCCTCCTAACATATCATCTGAGCCTCACAGCAACACGGCAGGTGGGTAATGTCAGATGAAGAAATTGAGACTGGAAGAGGATGAGTGAGAGTTACTTGCCCAAGATCTAGTAAGCAGTGGAGCTCAAGTCATCCTACATCTACTTGTTCAGCTGGCCCACTAGAAACCTGGTATTGGGATATGGCTGTGAAACAGGTTTGTGCCCTCAAAGGGCTCCTAGTCTAGTGGGGGAGACCAGACAGTGAGGAAGAGATTACAATCAAAGGGTACAGCTCAGAGACCTACACAGAGTGTGTGGAAATACAGACCAAAGGCACTGGTCTCAGTGCAGGGGATCAGAAAGGCTCCTGGATGAGGTGACTCATGACCTGAGGCGTGGAAGATGAGTAGACCAGTGATTCTTAAATTTGAGGCACGTTAGAATCACCTGGAGGGATTATTAAGACAAAATGCTGGGTCCTACCCCCAGTTTCTTAAGTAAATCTGGGGTGAGGCCCAATAATTTGCATTTCCAACAAGTTCCCAGAGGACACCGATGTTTCTGGTCCAAGGACCACACTTTGAAGGCCACTGAAGGAGAGCCTTCCCAGCAGATGCAAGTGCACGTGGGTCCTGATGCCAAAGCCAGGTTCAGGCCAGGCTCTTCCTCCACTCAGGTTCCAGAACCTACACTGGCATCAGGCTGGAGTGAGAAGTGCATTCAGGAAGGCCTCCCTCCCCTTGCCTGTCTTTTCTGATCTCCATATGACCCTTCAGTGCTGCTTCACTCAGTAACAGGAATACAGTAAGTCCCCTACATACGAATGAGTTCCATTCCTGCGTTCTAAAGTCCAATTTGTTCATAAGTCCAACAAAGTTAGCCTAGGTACCCAACTAACACAATCAGCTATATAGTACTGTGCTGTAATAGGTTTATAATAGTTTTCCGACAAATAATACATAAAAAACAAACAAAAAATAAAACATTTTTAATCTTACAGTACAGTACCTTGAAAAGTACAGTAGTACAGTACAACAGCCGGCATACAGGGGCTGGCATCGCGTGAACAGGCAAGGAGAGTTACTGCCTGGAGGAGGGAGAGGAGGTGGGAGATGGCAGAGCTGAAGGATCGTCAGCAATGGGAGACGGAGGGCGAGCTGCAGTTTCACTCACGCCTGACGCTGACGGAATGCACATTCGCATCTTTGAAAGTTCGCAACTTAAAGGTTCATATGTAGGGGACTTACTGTAGTAGTAATTGGTCAGGTGCCAGACACTGAGCTAAGTACTGGATGCGAGTTCTGTCATTAAATGCTAACAATAACCCTTTGGGGTAGAAGTTATGGGGATCCCCATTCTGTAGATTTGGATACTGAGGCACAGAAAGGTTTAGTCATTTGTCCAAGGATAAGCAGCTCTAAGAGGTGGTATGGGATGATGCACACCCAGGCTTCCCACCTTCTCTGCTTGTTGCCTGATCCCATCCAGCCTGCCCAAGGGGCCCAGTTCCACAGGGCCCAAGCAAGCCTGGAGGCATCGCTTTCTGGGGACAGATGAGGGTAGCCAGAAGCAGCTGGTCCCAACAGACAGGCACAGAGACTCCCAAACAACTGCCAGCCGGACTGAACAGACGAGTTGGTCCCCAGCTAAGGATTCCCCATGATCGGCAGCCTGGGTGGAGAGTCAGGCAGAGCTGTCTTCATGCCTCAGCCTCACCAGCTGCGTCTCAAAGTTTATTAACTTCTATACGCTTTCCTTTCTTCTTTACAAAATGAGATGATAATTCTAACCCCCACAGGAGTATCATGGAGAGGAAATAAAATAATGCAGGTGTGCCACCAAGTGTGGCTGAGTGACTATAGCTCTCCCACCACGCCTCTCAGTGGGCTGCCACCGTTGATCTCATACAGCTCTGGCCACTCTTAGGACCTTGTCTTAGCAACACGAGGGCACAGAGGCTGAAGAACTGCCTGTCACAGCTTGGGGGCTGTCAGCCAAAGGTGTCTGGCTCTACAGCTGGGTCCCTGCTCGCCTACTGGAGGAAATGGCCAAGGAACCAGCTGTGAGGCGACGGGTGAGCTCTGCTGCCAGGGCAGGGCCTTGCTCTGAGCAGCCTCTGGGGGCACTGGAGGCAGCAGGCTGGGGAGATAATCCCAATCCCTCTGATGGCACAATGTTGCTCTAGAGAGTGAAGTGGGGCTGGGGGCGGTGGGGACTTAGCAACTGATGACGAAAAGGACTTGGACCTTGAATTAAGATTGACTTCGGCTGTGGTCTCCGTTCTGCCACTTCACTTTGTGACTCTAGACAAGTTACATAACATAACCCTTCTGAGCCTCAGTTTCCTCATCCGTAAATTGGAGTCAATAATCCTTACTCCAGGTCTGCTCTGAGGCATCTATGAAAATGTATAAGGAAAGGCTTGGGGCATCATTAAGCAGTTTTTATTTGTCAAATTCACCTCACTTCCAATACATCTGGGCGCACACGTAGCCCGTAGTATTTGTTCATTCGCTTATTCAAAAACATTGGCTTAGCACCTACGATGTGCCAGGCACTGGAAATAAAGCCGTGAAGAAGGCAGAGAGAATCCCTGCCTTCTCAGAGCTTACACTCCAGTGAGAAATGATAGTCAATAAACAGCTAAACAAATAAATAAGAAAACACAAAATAATAGTAAGTGCTGAAGACACATTAAAAATGGATAGCGTGGGCTTCCCTGGTGGTGCGGTGGTTGAGAGTCCGCCTGCCGATGCAGGAGACGCGTGGGTTCGTGCCCCGGTCCGGGAAGATCCCACATGCCGCGGAGCGGCTGGGCCCGTGCTGCCGATGCAGGGGACACGGGTTCGTGCCCCGGTCCAGGAAGATCCCACATGCCGCAGAGCAGCTGGGCCCGTAAGCTACGGCCGCTGAGCCTGCGCGTCCGGAGCCTGTGCTCCTCAACGGAAGAGGCCACAGCAGTGAGAGACCCGCGTACCACCGCAAAAAAAAAAAAAAAAAGGATAGTGTGGTAGCATATGGTTTCTCTCCACGTGTGGCCAATGGATGGGCTTGGAGAGAGAAACCAGTAATAGCCAAAGGCAGAGACCAATGGGAGAATTCCCCTTCTTTCTCTCCCTCTCATCCTTTAGCCATCGTCTGGCCAAATGTCCCTCAGAGCATGCACCCCCAGGGCCCCGAAGGTAAAGGTCTCTGTATTTGGTTTCCAGGAGAGCAGCACCCTCGGCTGAATTTTCAGTGGACAGGACACGCCACTTAATGTCCTTCCTGACCATGATGGGCCCCAGTCCCGACTGGAACGTGGGCCTGTCCGCAGAGGATCTGTGCACCAAAGAGTGCGGCTGGGTCCAGAAAGTGGTGCAGGACCTGATTCCCTGGGACGCTGGCACCGACAGCGGGGTGACCTATGAGGTATGTGTGCGCCTGGAGTGGTGAGTGACAAACCTTTCCGAGCGTCTGCTCCTTGTCTGGCCCTGTTCTGGATGCCCTGGCCATGGAGGTGAGTCTGGCCCAGGCTCTGTACCAGATGAACTCACAGTCCGGTAGCGGGGAGCCCAGCATGGTCCCATCATCACATACTCACATGTCGTGTGACTTGGGCTCCGGGAAGTGTCCATGCAGCTGGTCAGGAGAGCACAGGAAGGGACTCTGGTGAAGAGCAGTTCAGAGATAAGCATTAAGGAACAGCAGGCAAAAGGCATGGAGGCAGAGAGAGAGAAAGAGAGAGAGAGAGAGAGAGAGAGAAAGGGGAACAGCAGGAAGTTGACGTGTGTTAAGCTGGGCCAGATTCCGAAGGTTTCCGGGTGGCCAGGCTAAGGAGTTTGGATTCTCCTGTGAATGTCAGTATTTTTCAGATATGGCCGACACACCAACTGCATCGAAATCTGGAATCATCAGAAAACCAGTGGTAGAACAATCTAAAACATTCGTAAACTATGGTTTGGGGGCAACCTGGAGTTTTCTAACCCAGCCTCACGCATTCGACCGCATGTTGTCTGGGGCTGCTTTCTCACTACAACTGAGTTGAGTCGTTGCAACAGACACAGTTGGCCCACAAAGCCTAAAATATTTACCATCTGACCCTCCTCAGACAAGTTTGCCAACTCCTGGTCTAGTGGGAAGAACTCTGGATTCAGACCAACCTGGTTCAGCAATTTCCTAGCTGGAAATGGCTCTCTAAATAAAACTCGGCATCTTCATCTGGGCATAATCCTACTGTGTACATGGGAGAATTTGAAAGTATAGATCTACAAATGTTCATGTACAACACATGGCATGAAAACAATTCTGTAAATATAAATAGCAGTTATACTTGTTAAAATTCCTTTCAAGGTTTTTGTTCTGATCATATATCAAATCTTTGTGGTTTTTAACCAGTTTTATTTCCCACTCTCTGTATCTGTGTTTTCTCCACTGCAGTCACCCAACAAGCCCACAATTCCCCAGGAGAAAATCCGACCCCTGACCAGCCTGGACCATCCTCAGAGTCCTTTTTACGATCCAGAGGGCGGGTCCATCACTCAAGTAGCCAGAGTTGTCATTGAGAGAATCGCTCGGAAGGTACTGGGTTAGAGCTCACCCTGGCACAGACCCTTCCCATCAGGAGACCAGACCCCTTTCAGCTCTTGAATCATGCGGTCCCTGGCATATTCAGGATGTGGAATTCCTGGGCCTACCAGAGTTCCTAGAATGCAAATTATTCATAAGATATAAATGAGCAAAATGAACATGGTGGTACAGTTTGACGCTCAACCAAATGATTTGCTCCAGGTAACTAGGCTTCATCATGAATGCCATAATGAATTGCTAATGTCTGCCATGGGTCAGGAAGTGGGAAGTTGTGGCTTTACTGCCATTTCTTTTACCAGTCAGGTTGTAAAAGTGAGCCAGAACTCCGCCATGGCCTAGGATCTGTATACAGGGTGGGCATTCGATTTTATATCCTCTTTCATCTTTCCCCCACACTTTCCGTTCTTTAACGTGAGCCCTCCAAGTAAAATTCCTTTTGCAGGGGGAACAGTGCAATATTGTACCTGACAATGTTGACGATATTGTAGCAGACCTGGCTCCAGAAGAGAAAGATGAAGGTAAGTCATCTTCCTTTGTTGCAGGTGGCAACATAAATTGGGAACTAAACAAACTACCTTTTGGGGAAGCAATTCGCTAACATGTTTTAAAAGCCACAGATATATCCTTTGATTTGGTAATCCCTTCTTTGCGGATTTCTGCTTGAAATATAATTCAAAACAAGGCCAAGGCTAGGCACAAAGTATAAGGGAATTGGTGAAGGTATGACACTGGAATATATATTCAACAGTATCAGGCAAATGGCATTTGCACAGGCTTCACAGTACTCAGATGACTCTCTGCTTTGATTCTCACACTATCCTGTGAGGCAGGAGTGGGTCCATCCACTTCCCCAGCAAGGAAAGTGAGCCCAGACCCTACAGTCAGGAGGCAGTGGCAGAGCCCTGGCTTCAGCTCAAGTTCTCTCATAGGATCTGGAGCCAGACAAGCTGGGCTCTCCTCCTGTGGCCCTGGGCAAGAGGCCCACCTTTCTACCAGTTTCCTCAACTGTAAAATGGGGATAATGGAAGAACCCGCCTTGTAGAGAGCTGTGGTGAGGAGCTAATGGGATAAGACAAATACGGTTCTTAGAATGATGCTGGCACATGGTAAGTGGTCAGTGAACGATGGCCACCCTTATTCTCATCATGACACTGTGTCTGGGTCACTGGGAAGAAGAGCAACACCACACGAAAAAACCTGTTTCTCCCCCAAATTGCCTGTGATTTGCCTGCACCTGTGTGGAAACGATGTCTGCCAGGGTGAGGGGCTTGTGTTCATGTGTTGAGGGGAAGGGACAGTAAGAGAATCTTTCCTTATTATTAAGTTACTTAGATTTTTATTAGGGGAATGCCCAAACTATAATTTTGAAAGGCAAGTGAATGGCTGCTTGCATCCCCGGAGTACCCAGGCTCCCAGAGGCTGGGTAGACAGCGGGGATTTTCTTGTCCCCGCGTGAGCTCGTCTGGGGAGAGAGGGCCAGTCACAGCTTCCGCAGGCTCCCGGGAAAGCCATGTCACATACTCTTTCCAGATGACACCCCCGAAACCTGCATCTACTCCAACTGGTCCCCGTGGTCCGCCTGCAGCTCTTCCACCTGCGACAAAGGCAAGAGGATGCGGCAGCGCATGCTGAAGGCGCAGCTGGACCTCAGCGTCCCCTGTCCCGACACCCAGGACTTCCAGCCCTGCACGGGCCCGGGCTGCAGCGATGAAGGTGACGAGACACCCAGGCTCAGGAAGGGAGGGTCCTGCCTGGCCGTGTCAGCCTCTCATACCTGGTCAGGCAGCAACCCCCCCCCCCGGTGGGGCACTAGGACCCTGACTGTATTTGTCAGTGGGGACCACCAAGGGCAGACTCCCAGGGAGTCCAACAGTATCTTGAGGGCTGTGAACACAGACATGTCTTATGACATCAAAAGAATTCTTGAGATTAACTGACCCCCCCATACCCCCCCAGCCATGGAAGAAAATAGACACAAGTTACTGAAGAGCTAGCACACATCTTACTTATGACAAACAACAGAGAGCAAGCTGCCTGCTCCTGGGCCTTAACTTCAACCTCTTTTTAAGAAGCAGGTGAACAGGTTGGCCAAGATTGAATCTCAATCATTGCCCTAATCCTGTGTCATTCATGGACCCCCGTGCATGTCCCACCTCAGCCTGGGTCAGAGCCCTCAGTTCCTTGCGTCAGGACCTTTGGACTGACTGCGGCAATTCTGTCTCTCCTTGTAACTGGTCAAAGGTCAGGCCTGGACTATAAGCTTGAACCACCCATGTCATGATGGCTCAGGCTTCAACGTGGCACTACTCTGATTGCTGTGCAAAGGCCAGCTGCCTACTTTCCAGGGTACACTTCCTCTCTCTGACTGAACAGATCTATACTCTGTGCTCTGATCTTAACTGTCTTCAGAGGTGTAACAAGGCAATAGGAAGGGATGTATAGGCTGGGCTGGTTTATGGCAGGAAGAAAACCATTTCCAAGCTGAGGATAACTGAAGAAAGCTCACCCACCACTGCAGGTGGTGGCTCTCTGGCTCTTCCTGGGGCACAGTCTTAAATACCTCTCCTGGCTGCACTCCACAGTGGTTTATTGCTGTTTGTGCCCATGATGAGGCACTTCAGAAAGGAGTGAACCCTGCGTGCACAGGCCATTCCTACGACAGGAGGTTGTGACAGGACTGGCAACGCTGGAGGCTCTTTCTTGGGGTTGAGGGGAGGCAGATGGGTGGGCTGTCTGTGGCCTGCAGTGGGAGCTGAGATCTTTAACCACCCCCTCTACAGGGGTGGAGTTCAGGTGGCTCCCAGGAGGTAATGACAATTCTGAAACATGTTGGGCTCTGCCTGGTGGTGTGGTTTTGGTGGTATACAGCATCAAGTTTACCAACTTAACTATTTTTAATTTTACAGTTCAGTGGTATTAAGTGTGTACACGTACACACACACACACACACACACACACACACACAGAGGCAACCATCACCACCCTCTATCTTCAGAACTCCTTTCATCTCGCAAAACAAACTGTAGACCCATTAACCACTAACTCTCCATTCCCCCAACCCCTGGCAACCACTATTCTACTTCCTAAGAATTGACCATTCTAGGTATCTCATGTAAATGGAATCATACAGTATTTGTCTTTTCGTGACTGGCTTATTTCACTCAGCATAAGGTCCATCCACGTTGTAGGATGTGTCAGAACTTCCCTGTGTCTAATGTGGGTTCCAGCCATCTTTATTACTGCACCGCCAGCAAGCACTGTCTAGCAACACTGTCCATAGGCTCAATAACAAATGTGTAGGCATCACCCATGTGCACGTGACAGCCTGCGGACATGTGCAGGAGGCTTCACACTCTGACTTCAGTCCTTCTTTCTAGCCTCATCTCCCAGTGCCACACACAATACACTCGGTACAGGTTATTGCAGGAGCTGTTCCCTTCACCTTAAATACAGATATTCTCTACCCAACAAAAGTGCACTCAGATGTGCCCTCTTCCGTGAAATCTCACCCAGAACTCCAAGGAGCACCCCCATTCCAGTCCGCTGGGCTTATGTCTGTTGTCGTATTTTCAATACACAGAATTATTGTGGTTTATGTGCCCATCTCTCGCTCTGGAGTAGATCAAAATCTGTATCTTACCCATCTCTTTAACCTCAGTGCATACCACTAAGCAGTCAGTAAAGATTTACTGACGTGAGTAAATGGATGGGTGGATGGATGACTTCATTTCCCTCTTCTTTAGAACTAAACAGGCAAACACACACACACACACACACTCCTGTCCATCCAAGCATCTTTCAAATGTGTCGTCATGAGACAAGGAGTAATCCCGAGTGCTCCGTGCACCTGGAAAAAAGCATTTCCTTTAAAGAACAAGTCCTAGTTTAAAGATGTGTGCCTTTTATGTCGACTCCCGTCCTCAACTGCCTAACTGCCCCTGAATGCCAGCTGGCCTTCCTGACGCCCGCCTTTGGGGAGTTCGGTTGGTCACGCGGATCCCGGCGTCGTGGCGCCCAGTCTGCAGTATCTGCTGCTGTGTTGCAGACGGCTCCACCTGCACCATGTCCGAGTGGATCACCTGGTCGCCCTGCAGCATCTCCTGCGGCACTGGCATGCGGTCCCGGGAGAGGTACGTGAAGCAATTCCCGGAGGACGGCTCCGTGTGCACGCTGCCCACTGAGGAGACGGAGAAGTGCGCGGTCAACGAGGAGTGCTGTGAGTGGGGTGCCGGGCGGGAGGGGCGGGCGCGGGGCTCCCGAGGCTGCCAAGGCGATGCTAAACACCGCCGGACGCCCCAGCTCCCAGCAGCTGCCTGATGACCGAGTGGGGCGAGTGGGACGAGTGCAGCGCCACCTGCGGGATGGGCGTGAAGAAGCGGCACCGCATGGTCAAGATGAGCCCGGCGGACGGCTCCATGTGCAAGGCTGAGACGTCTCAGGCAGAGAAGTGCATGATGCCCGAGTGCCGTGAGTGGGCGTGGGAGAGGGGACAGAGGACCACAGCAGCCCTTACTACTACCACCGTCGAGGCTGGGCAGGTGCAAGAGGAAATATGGACCGCCCGCCCCCATCCTTGCAGGGCACTTCTAGGAGCGAGAGCTATAGGTGTGAGGACATCATCCAGACCCAGAGAGGGGCCTCCTTTGAGAGGCATTCTGAGCAATGCTGGGGTGGCAAACTGGTGGCCTCTGGATAGAATTCACCTGTAGCTGTGTTTTATAGGGCCCCACAGTATCTTTTTTTTGGAGCGGGGGGGAATACGTGTAGGCAGGTTGTGCATTCCTCAAGTCATGACAGACCCCCTCATTCTTGTTCTATGTTGGGACTTGCCTGTGGCCTCATAAAGCATTACAACCCCTCCTCTACGCACAGATGCACACAGGCCCCCACATCACTACACAGATGTACACACACAGCCAAGTACATACACATTCTAGCGATTTCAGCACCAAAGTGTCCAAAAACACATCATTGAGCCTATCTTTTAGTGCATGGTTCTTGGGGCATGTGCGATGTTTCTGTCTCTAGTAAGATCCTACTCAGACCCTCACGGGTGTTTCAGGTGGGACTTGTGTATTCCTATTACTGAGCCACATCTGATGCCACATCATGAGCACCAGCTGGATCAGAGGAGATGCAGGAGAGTGACAAGAGCAGCAGTTAGTGGCCTGTGGAGCCACTCCTGCTTCCGGGGGGGGGGGGTCACTTCGGTTATCTGAACCCACTGGTCAATTTCACTTTACTCAAGGGGCTTGAGTGGGGGACAAAGGGTACAGGGCACCAGATCAAAGAAAGCAAAGGGAGCCTGTTCTCAGTGGCAAACCTGGCTCTTGGTCTAGACACCATCCCCTGCTTGCTGTCCCCGTGGTCCGAGTGGAGCGACTGCAGCGTGACCTGTGGGAAGGGCATGCGGACCCGCCAGCGGATGCTCAAGTCTCTAGCCGAACTCGGGGACTGTAATGAGGCGCTGGAGCAAGTGGAAAAGTGCATGCTGCCCGAGTGCCGTAAGTCCTGGAGCTCCTGGAAGCCACCTCTCCCCTCCTCCCCTCTCCTCCTGCTAACCAGCCCTGTGCCAGCTCGTACAGTTATGACTGTTTGCTGGGCCCTGCATCTCTGTGTTAGCAAAGTTATTTAAACTCTCAATCTTCTCGGTAGTAAAAGGGGATCCCACTAACCATCTACAAAACACCCAAACTGTAAATGGCTGTGAAGCCTAAACAGGAGGCTTAGATGGAAAACAGTACAGGCTCGATAAAATGTACTTCATAGTTCTCCACCCCCCCAAGTTAGAGGCTTGTCTGGCCCATGAGGTTTTCCAAGCTTTTTAATTCTGTTCCTCCTCCCTGTGACCAGTTTATTTACCCGTGACCAAAGGGTAGACTTTAAACCAGTGACTCCCGTACCTTTGCAGCCTTGATAAGAAGACAGGCCAGCAGGTCAACAAGCTCAAAAGCTCCATGCCCACCCTCATCTCCTCTCAAATCTCACAGAGATTTGAGAAGAGATGAGGGTGAGTTTATTATCTGGGGACTAATTTCCAAGGAGAGAGCCCATTTTTCTGGCTAGTCTTCCATGAGAGCTTCCCTTTCAGGTGGTGGAAAGTCAGACACACTTGCTAAGATCTGTTTTCTGGCTTTCTCTGAAATGCACTTGCAGCCTTCTGTGCTTCCTCCCCTTACTCAGGCTGCGTGCCTGGGGACAGGTCCTAGCTCTGTCCCTTACTGGCTGCATAAACTTCAGCACATTACTTAGCATCCCTGTCCCTCATCTGTAAAATAGTGAGAAGAACTTCCTAGGTTGCTCTGAGAATTAAACCACATATAATTGGTACAAAGTGCCGAGCACTGGACTTGGGAAGTGCAGACCTCCATATTACAGTTCCTGAGCTGTTTTAGCCAAAGTCATGTGTGGAGATGACCCAGACCATCAAACTAAACAAAGCCTTGGGCTTTTACTAAGATCTTCCCCGTGTTCAACACAGCTCACCAGAGCTGGGGCTCCAGAATGTTCTGAGACACTGTTACCGACTCAAACAAAACTCCATATTCACAGGGTCCAGTGAATGAAGGGAGAAGAAAAAGAACATTTATGGAACACTTACTGTGGGCCAGAAACTGGGCTGAGAGCAGTACTTAATTCTCACAACGTGATGTGAGAAAAATAACATTATCCCCATGCTGCAGATGGGAAAGCTGCCTGAGCTCCCACAGGGAGAAAAGGCCTAAGACCATGAACAAAATGAGTTTTTCCTAGATCCATCCAGCCGGGCCCTCACTTTGCAAGGGAAGCAGAGTTTGAAAATCATTTGCCTCCCTAGGAAGCATCCTGAGAATCACTCTAATGGGTTATCTTTGGTCCACATGTGTGAGATGCTGGCTTAATGACAAGACGTTGCTGGATCTCTTACCATGATAAACCGTGACACCACTTGCTACTGCCCCTCTTCTCTACTGAATTTCCTATTTCTGACTCCTGTGTTTTTTGCAGACTGCCATGTATAAGACCCAGGATGACATCGAGAACAAGAAACACTGCCTGGGTCTTACGGCAAAAGTCACAATGTCCTTAGTATTAGTCCACGGGGGCAGCTCTGGAAAATGGCACCGGTGAACTGTGCCTTCCCTCAGAAAATCAGGGCCCTTGGCTGTGGGAAGCTCGTCTGTGCCACTTGAGGCTAATTTGACAATATTCTAGAAGCTTAGAGAGCAAGGCAAGAGGCTCTGAACTAATCTTCAAGGTCCCCCCAAAAGCCTTCTCGAATCATAAAGAGGGCATAGCATGTGGGTTTTGATCTGGGCACCAATCCTGCATCTACTGCTTACCAACCATGTGGGCTGGATAAAGTCAGTCTGCCTCTTGGAGCCTCAGTTTCTTCTTCTGTAAAATGGGGTAACAGCACCTGCTTTGCATTTCCCATAGGCTTGTGTTGAGACGTTCAAAGGAGAATATAAGTGACCGTATCTTGTTCCAGACATGAGATATACTCACGCCCATCTGTGTCTTGCCAGCCATTGACTGTGAGCTCACCGAGTGGTCCCAGTGGTCGGAATGTAACAAGTCATGTGGGAAAGGCCACATGATTCGAACCCGCACGATCCAAATGGAGCCTCAGTTTGGAGGTGCACCCTGCCCGGAGACTGTGCAGCGGAAAAAGTGCCGCATCCGGAAATGCCTCCGAAATCCATCCATCCAGAAGCTGCGCTGGAGGGAGGCCCGAGAGAGCCGGAGGAGTGAGCAGCTGAGGGAGGAGTCCGATGGGGACCAGTTTCCAGGTACTGCCAAGTGTGAGGCTGGCGTTCAGGGAGATGTCAAAGCAGAGTGGGTCTGGAAGAACTTGTAGGAGTTTGCCAGTAAAACAAGGGCACCCCAGGCAGCAGGAGTAGTCAGTACAATGGCACTGAGATACCAAAGAGCAAGATATGTTCAAGTAGTAAGTGAAAGGCAGAAGGAACACACAGTATGGCAGAGGAGGGGCAGGAAACCAAGCTGGAGAGGTAGGGTAGGGACCAGACCATGAAAGGCCTGCTGATGACTTGATTCTGTAGGTGAAAGTTTTAAGCAACAGCGTGACTTTAACAGGCCTGTGCTGAGTGGTTTGGAGGTGGCAAAAACAGAGGCACAGAGGCTGGTTAAGTTTTCTCTGTAGCCCAGGAGAGAGATTATGTGTCCCCCTCCTCCTGCATAACTGAAGGAGTTCCAGGACTTTAAAAAAAAAAAAAAGATCCCACCTAGAGCTTCACGGCTGAATAAGCTGATCCAAGCCAAGAGTGCAATATCATCAGCAAAATGAGGAAATGGTAGTTGGGAAGATCCGCGGTCAGTCCTGGGCCCAGGCCGATTGATGGTCTTTGGATTCCCTGGAGTGGGTAAGGAAGGTGCCGCATATAAGTGAAGGTTAATGGGTTTCTATTTTTAAAGGTGCAGCTCAAATTACCCCTTTTTCTTTTCTCTTCTCTTCCTTAAGACATTACACCTCCGTCTAGGACTAGAGAAGTGCAGATATGTGGAGCTACCTAAGTTCACTACCTTTCCACTAGGGAGCTGTTCCCATATCAAAATGTTGTCTAGGGCTTCCCTGGTGGCACAGTGGTTGAGAGTCCTCCTGCTGACGCGGGGGACACGGGTTCGTGCCCCGGTCCGGGAAGATCCCACATGCCGCGGAGCGGCCGGGCCCGTGAGC